ACCCACCGTGATCCAATCGCCTTTCGTCCTTGTGGGAGCGGCATGAGTCAGTGAGTCTGGAGGTCTCACATCGACTGCAATTCAGCTTTGCAGGCATCCAACCACTTCTCCCAGTCTGGTGATGCTCGTGCCTGGTTGAGATTGTCTGGTATGGCGGTGCATGAGTGTTTCGGGGTGTCTGCAGTCGAGTGCATTGCAGATTTGGTAGTGGAGGGTTGGTTGTTTGCATTGCCATGTCCATCTGTGCTGTCAAGGGTTGGCACCTCTGGTATATAGGTCCAGCGTTCATGGACAGGAATCCTTTGTGTTGGTGTCTCCGTGGTGCTGGTGCCGGTTGGTGCAGTGTGACCAACCTGTGCTGGACAACGTGGGCGAGAGCTGTGACGGGGTGGATCTGCTGGGGGTGCTATGTGATGGGGTGGATCTGCTGGAGGAATGGCATCTACTGCTGGTGGAGGAATGGCGTCTACTGCTGGTGGGACAATGCATTCAGCTCCCACTGACACGTGCGGCAGCGCAGCAGCAGCAGGGGTCGATGTTGGCGGCTCACCAGCAAGTGGAGGGGCAGCTCCCACTGATGAAGGCAGGACAACTCCCACTGACGAAGTATCTTCCACCAATGGCTCAACAAGGGGGGCAAGGGGTGTGGAAGTTGGATCTCCATAGAAGACATGCTCATCAAAGTGAACATGGCGAGATTGGATGACGCGACAAGCAGATGGGTCCCAGAGCATGTACCCAGCATGTCAGATGTGGCCAAGGAGGAAGCACCATCACAAGACATAGTCATATTTGTGATGTGTGTCCTCTGGGATGTGAGCATAGGCGAGGCAGCCAAAAGGGCAAAGGTAGTGCACATCAGGCTTCCAACCATAGAAGGCTTCAAAAGGAGTGCGTCCAGTGAGTGAGGAGGAAGGGAGGATGTTTTTGACATGCACTGAGTTAAGGATGGCCCAACCCCAGAAGGAGCATGGAAAGCTGCTCTGGTGGTGTGAACTGAGGGCACGCGTGACCACTGTTTGGTGATTGCGCTCTGCTACACCATTCTGTTGAGGTGTATAGGGCATGGTCATCTCATGCTCAATGCCATGGTCGGCGAGATATTGGAGGAAAGGCTTTGAGACGTACTCGCTGCCATTATCGCTGCGTAGATGCTTCACATGGCCTCCAGACTGAGTCTCAACCCATGGTACGAAGTGCTTGAAATGTTCAAACACATCCGACTTAGTGCGCATGAGATATATCACTGAATATTGCGTATAGTTGTTGGTGAATACGATAAAATAGGAATCGCCGGAGGAGGACATGAGATTAACTGGGCCCCATATGTCAAAATGGATTAGTTCTGCAGTAGCGTGCGCACGGCATGTGGTACTGGGAAAAGGGAGGCGCTTGTGCTTGCCCATGACACAAGACATGCAATGGATCGAGTCAGCATCGTCGATCTTGTCGTCCAGTGGCATGGCATCAATGTCCATACCAGTAACGTGCCCAATGGCTTTCATGATGGTTGATAGCCCAGCATGACATAGGCGATTATGCCAGGTATTGAGTGAGGAGGGCACATTTGGCGACTGAGAGAGCATTGCACGCATGGGAGTAGGAGTTCCCTGAGCACAGTAGGCGGCATCAAGCAAGTATAGACCACCCTGTGGGTGCACATGGGCGAGACATGGGCCGTCTCCATCTTTGGAGCATAGCATCCCACCCTTTGAGTTTGTGGTAAAGGAGATACAAGCTGAAGCGAGAGCAGAGACAGAGATGAGTGTGCACCGTAAGTTGGGAATGTGCAGAAACTCAAAGTCGTGCTCCGTTAGTGATGCGCCGTAGTGCAGGAGAAGTCTCACTCTACCCCATCCTGGGGCTAGGACCACATGTTCATCAGCCAACCTCACACGGATTGGTTCACGCAGTTTGGTATAGTGGGAAAAGCGTGATATTTCAGGCTCCATGTGAGCAGTCGCAGCAGAGTCTACATGAAACATCCTGTCGGGTAGATCAAGAGTGGATGAGATGTTGGCGGAGTGGTCTTTTAGGGTAAGGATGAATGGTGGGGATGTGATAGGTTCGTCAGCTTGGTCTGCCAATGGAGATTCCATGTTAGCGGCAACAGCGGCAGGGGACGAACGTGGTGCTGACTTCTTCTCATCCTTAGCAAGCCGTGCACGACACTGTGCCCAGACATGACCAGCCTTCTGGCAGTGGCCACACTTGGGCCTCCATCCTACGATCCAACCATCTCCCTTCGACTTGTCGAAGCCCTTGGGAGGGACACAATCACTAGTCTTGGGAGGTGCACTGTTGCCCCAATGTCCAGAGAGCATGGCAATATGCTCTGGCACACTAGTAGTCCCTGCACGATGCAGCTCCTGGGTCTTTAACCGATTCACGATATCGTTGAAGTCCAGCGAGGTGTCGCTATTAACAAGCGTTTGGTGAAGGGGGTTGTAATAGTCGGGGAGAGCTTGGAGGAGAATGTGCACGAAAATGGTGTCTGGGATTTTGTATTCCTCCTTCACAGTAGTGGCACCAGGAGATGTAGTAGAAGCTGGAGTAGCTAAGGATGCAGATGGTGCGACTGAGAGTGCTGCGAGGTCTGACTTCAACACAATGAGTGTTTGTAGTGTTTCTGCGATGGATGGGCTGTCGTGTGCCTTTGGGAGCGTGAATAGGCGATTGAGATATTGGTTGAATTGAATGGATTTCTGAGGAAGGTACTTCTTCTCCAGGGCGATCCAAGCAATGTGTGGCTGTAGAGAGAGCACTGAGAGCGAGAAGTTGACGTTATTTGTAGATTTTCACCCGCTTGTCGTGTTTCTCTTTGTGGATGATGTTTTGGTCAGGGTCTGTGAGCTGGGCTGGTGGGGACAGTTCTACTTTGTCCCCACTGACATAGGGCCATAGCCCGATACCGCCAGCCCACATCTTAAAACCTGTTGCCCATTGGGAATAATTAGAGCTGTCGAGGGTGAGCTTCTTGTGCGGGTATTTCTTGGTCTTCAGGAGAGTGTCAGATGAAGACATTGTATAATGATAAGTGCCGAGGATATGAGAGAGTCAGCGAGAACTTGGTAAGAAAGTGTTGCTGTCCTTTAGGCAGGGTTCATAACCTGTCAGAAGGTGAGAGCTCAGTCAACGGTAAAGAGACTGAATTCCCAATGTACGAACCTAACACTGCGAGCTAAACATGCTAATGAGTATGGTAAATGTAAGGTAAGAGAAAACATACACACCTCAGTCAACGGTAAAGAGACTGAGGTGTAACGAGGGTGTTTGCCCATCTTAAGTAGCAAGGGAGAGAGAGAAATTATCATAACCAGGTAAGTGACATTCGATGATAGTGAAACACTCAATGACAGATAGGATATTAGAGTGGTACCAGATGCTTTGATGGATCAACAGATCCCGTCATGGATCATATCTCAACACACTCCACCTCTACTGTTGGTTCTGACCATAGTAGTCTTCTGCTTCTCCCCTGTCGGGTGGTCCAACCCCCATCCAACTTTCCCATGCTCATCTGGTAGTCTGTCAGCCCTCCTTTGGAGAGCCTCTGCTCTGACATCCTGTTGGAGCATATAGAACTCTTGTCAGACTATAATCTGAAATTAGAGGCATGTACTTGGGTAAGGGGTGCAGTACATGAGCTGAAGCCAAGCCCCTCAGACTCTGCCTTGTCCCTAAGTATGGTCTTACCAGGATTCATGCATCTGGTACATTGGCACTCTCTCCAAGACCTGTGTATGTGCTTAGACCAGGAACTAGTGTTCCACTGAAACCCAGGAGTTGAGATATGTTGTAAAGGTGCTTCAAATGTCATGCATTTGTTAGGTACCATGCCGACTCAAGAAGCAGAGGGGTCAGGGCTTGGCTTCAGCTCTTGCGCTGCGCCCTTAGCTGAGTACATGCCTCGAATTTGGAGTGGGTTTGACATTGTCCGACGATAGGATGAATGGACCACTTTGGTCCGCTTTGAGGGTCGGGGAATAAGAACTACTAGCGGCGGGCTGACTAGGAGCAGAGCGGAGAAGGTGGGGAGTGATGCAGAGAGTGGATAGGAGCAGGGGAATGCTGGTAGGGGCGGGGAAGGCAGAGGATAATGTGGAGGGACAAGGGAGAATATTTGATAGGGGCAGAGTATAAGGGGAAGACTTAGAGCATGGCTCTAAGTCGGAGCGGAGGGTCAGAGGGTTGGAGGTAACAACAAGTTGAGACTTGTGTCCAGAGGAGGCAAGGTCCTACTGAGAATTCTCACAAGATGTAACTGCAAGAAGACAAGTAATATTAAGACTGAGGAAAATATCTAAGTACAGGATATGTTATATACTTCTATGTATGAGGCAGTGATCAGGATAACTATGTAGTAAAGCTATGTACCAAGGATATAGTTTGTAAGTACTTTACATAGGTGAAGACATAAGTCAGAGCGGATATCAATATGTACGTGTTGGATCAGTGATCGAGCGGTAATAGGAATTACCGGTTGTCCAGAAGTAAGGGTCTATGTACTAAAGGGGGAAGTATATATCTAAAAGGGGAAAGAGGTCCAGTTGAATGGGGAGGTTTATGGAAGGGGACTGGTTGAGCGGTTGAGCGGAAGCGTAGGGGCAGAATGTGGACTTGTGGTTGGACGGAGTGGAGGATGGATGGAGCGGAGGGGGTCGGAAAGCGGAGCGGATATCAATATTGGAGCGGTCGGATCAGGTATATGACAGTATCCCCCCCTTTGGGCCGAGCCCTCGAGGCCAAGAGGACTGAAGAACCAGAACATGAGGTGATGAGAAGGGTTTTGAGAATATTGCGCTAGTTATAAAATTTTGGCAAAGAAAATTTCTGAAGCCCTACTTCCCTTCTCCCTGATATCAATACCCTCAGCTTCGACACTATTTCCAAGAAGACGTCCCGCAAGCTTGCGGAGGACAACTTGCAGTGCTGGAGAGGCGGGCTGCAGAGGAGGAGGCTGAGGCTGCTCGTGAGCGTGCAGAGGCCAAGCGGAGGGCATGGGAGGAGATGGAGAAGAAGTGACAGGCGGAGTTGTTTGCGGAGCAGGCAGAGCTGCGACAGAAGGTTGCGGAGAATCGCCACATACTGTGGGAGGTGATGAGTGTGGTGGTGAGTATTTTGTTTGATTTATTTTGATCAGTTGTTGACGTTCCGAAGGGCGCTACTCCGATGGCCCCTGTCGGAAAGGTGCCCGCTGACTGCCAGCGATGTTTCGCTTCTGGGGCGGTATGCACTTGGGGCAGGGCAATGGATGGCAAGGTGAGTTTTTTCTTTTCTGGCTTATTGATGCAGCTGAAATTTTCCGTCCTGGAGAAGCACAGTGCTTGTGACTCCTACGTCATCAAGAAGAAGAAGTGCAATCCAATGGTTGGGTCAGGCGCGGTCTCCCGGGGCAAGAAGTGGGCGCAGGCAGGGACTCCTTCTCCATGTGGAAAGGGAAAACAGAGGCAGGCAAGCCCAAGTCCGATGGGGCGTATGTCCTCTGGGCAAGGGACTGTGCTCGGCGAGGATGAGGAGGAGACCTGTATGATGACCAGGCCTGGGTGCAGGCCGCCAATGATATCATGAACAAGCTGAGTTGGACCAACGCATTCCTGGAGCGGAGCATCCTGATGTCGGAGCGGAGCGTGTGCGCGGTCGAGGGGAGTCGGGCTGCGATGGAGCAGGGGGTCCCCACCATGGAGAAATTCATGGAGGGGCAGGCGCATTTGCAGGCGCTGCTTCTGAGGCACTTCGGGTCTGCAAGTGAAGGGAGCAAAAGTCGTGGGGCCGACTACGGCGTGGAGAGTGCGGAGGAGGAAGTGGTCTCCGATGTGGAGATCCAGGAGGTGCAGGGGCCTGCTGCACCCGCAGGTGGGAATGAGGGGGCGGAGGTTGAGGTGGTGGCAGAAGCGGGAGTGGAGGAGGTTGCGGAGGCAGCTGAGGACGCCAAGATGGTCATGTAGTCGTCCATCTGCTCGCTCCCCACCATGTACAATGTATCGTTTTATCCATCAATCATATGTTTTGTTGAGATTGTGCTGGCAGGCTGATTTGTGGGACGGAGCGGATATCAATAAGCAGCAACCGAGGGGCAGATGAGTGGGGGAACGGAACAGAGTGGAGTCCCTATTCCCCCCTCTGGGTGGACGTCCAGCGTTGGATAAAAAATAGGAAGGATTGGCGGGAGGAGTGGAAAATTACCAATTTTTCTGATCCCTCTAGCACAATGCGCTAGGATTTGTCAGGGATTGGAACAATAGTCGGCCTGAAAAGAGGAGGTACCAGATGGAGTTACTACAGAGTATTGGGCGGACCAATGATGGGGATGTCGGGGGAAATGGCATTCCATGTGGAGTCAAACGGATGAAGGTGCTACCCAATACCCTGTTGACCAATGGGTCATAGCGGGCGGGTGAGTGGTATCCTAGAATGAAAAAACAACACAGCCGTAACATCACCCCCTTCTTACGTGGAAAGTCCCAGACTTTCATCAAAGACTACATCATCTGTCGTCCTCAGTTCCCCCAAGACCTCCTAGAGCTTCAAAGAAACCATGTTCTTCCATGACGATCAATGTCAACTGTTGGAGTTTCTCTTTGGTGTCTCTGATGCTATAGTCGAGAGAGAAAAGCTCGTTTTCCCTGTGTTTGCCATTATACCTTTCTAAGGTATATTCGAGACAATCTCCAAGATGGTAGAGGTCGTAAAGGGCATTGAGTGTGGGCTCAGTGTCGATAGCATCTTTAATAGGATTCTTGAAGAGTTGTGACGACAGCATAATCCTACGGCGAAGTCTATGATCTTCAAGATCGGACAAGTAGGGGTCAGTTGCAACTCTCCAAGGGGCTGCTCTACGACAAGCTGCAACATGCTCATGACGTCTAATCATAGTGGGACTAGTGGGAGTTCGTGAAATGGTAATGGGGGTGGCGTAGGTGAGCTAGTGTACTGAAATGGAGACTCCTGAGGTGGTACCTCAGGCGAGTTTCATTGACTGATAGTCATATAATGAGGACGAGGTGAGAAGACAGGGAAGCGAAGATTCGGAATAGGAACATTGGGGGTGCTGTTGTGCATGATGACGAGGTTTATATCTTCAGCACTGGAGGAGACATAGTTACATCCACTGGTAGAGGGCATTGTCTGAATGGTTTAGTGATGATGGTTCAAGTTGAGAGAGGAATGAGTTGATGTGCCTGCTTATATCTATTCAAGATTTCAGCAGGGTTGGCTAAATCAGACTCCAACAACCATTCATTGTCGGCCGATGGGTAACCTTTCCATTTGACAAGGAAGTGTCGTCGTGAGAGAGTTCCTTTGTGTCCGAGGATAGCTTCTGTTAGTTGTGGTGATTGAGCACCTCATGGTGCGAGTTATTTGTGTTATGATGTTGCTTCCTCTATTGGACTCTCACTTAGCATGTGATGTGAATTCCTTACTTACTTAGGCAGTGTTTACACTTGTTTACATAGACTCGCCCATAGGTAGCAAGTCCTGTGTTGGTTGCTCTTTAGCAACTGACACTGGACTATAGTCCTGTTCACTCTCATTAGCTCACTTGTGGCTTGGTTCACTTGGTTATTCTAACAGCTTCTACTTCATATTCTTCTTCTCCATTGATAAGGTCAGGAGGTGGCAATGGGAAGTTGGGACCATGTTCTTCATTCTCGTGATAGGGGGTTAGGAAGTGCTGCATGGAATACTGGATGAACACGCCATTGGTTCGGGAGTTTTAGACAATATGTGACTGGTCCGAGAACTTCCAAGATAGTGAAAGGTCCCTCTCATTTGGGAGCTAGTTTCCTATTTGGGTAGTTAAGATGAAGGTTCTTTGCTTCTAGCCAAACTTTGTCGCCTTTCTTGAAAGGTGTGAATGATCGGGTGATTCTTTGCCTCATGGTTTGTCTGGCAAGTACATGAGAGGATAGGGCTTCTTCTCAAGCCTTCTGGAGTTCTGATATTCTTGCTTCTATGGCTGGAAGATCCAATTTTTCGGTAGCCAATGGTAGAGCTTGTGGATGGTATCCCATCATCAGATAGAATGGTGACACATTTCATGCGGAATGGTGGCGAGAGTTGTGTACGAACTCTGCCATGGGAAGTTTGTCTGACCACGAAGTCTGATCATTTGCACAGAAAATGCGAAGATATACTTCTAATTCTTGGTTTACTCATTCTGTTTCTCCATCGGTTTGAGGATGAAATGCAGTTGAGAGGGCGATTTTGTATCCCAAGAGTCTTCCTAGTTCCTGTGCAAACTTGGCTGTGAATTGGGGTCCTCTGTCAGAGATGATTTTATCATAGAGGCCGAACCGTGTGTAGACACGTTTGAAGAATACATCTGCGACTCCTTCTGCATCAATCGTCTTGTTGCAAGGCGTGAGCACCACCCCCTTCGTAAGCCCATGGTCTACCACAACCATGATAGAATCAAAGCCATTGGACAGAGGTAAATCGACAATGAGGTCCACAGAGCATTGTGCAAAGGGGCGGGAAGATGTGGGGGTGGGAATTGGAAAGAGAGGGGGAACAGTAGGGTGAGTGTTTGACTTTATTTTGTTGACAAACAGCACAGCCTTCAATGTATTTGCGTACAAAGGTGGGAAGGCCTGGCCACCAATAGTCACGAGACAAAAGTTCTTGTGTTTTAAAATGGCCGGGGTGTCCAGCAGTAGGGCTGTTGTGATGAAGGGAAATGAGTTCTCGTCACAGGGGTCCAGGTAGGACGTAAGCACGGCCTTTGAAGGTGAGAATATTATTGGAAAAGGTCCAGTCCAAAAGTGCAGTCTTCATAGGGAGAGGCAGAGCAGGATTGGAGAGAGCGTCAATGGTTTTCTGAACCACAACATCAACTAACAAGGAGATGTGAAGTTTGTCACACATAACGGTGTCGATAAGGTTGATGAACAACCCATCAGGTAGCATAGTGACATCCAAGTTGTCTGTAGCATCGACTGGGACGTGATCAGGTCTGCGGGAAAGGGAATCGGGAACGGAAAGATCTTTGCCGGGTACATGTTGTAGTTGCAAGTTGAAATGGGAGAGGAACAACAGCCAGTGAGCTTGTCAGCAATTCAGTTGTTGTGCTTGGCGAAAGTAGGTCAAATTTTTATGGTCAGTCATGATGAGAACTGGGAAAAGGGAGCCTTCAAGGTAATGGCACCAAGCTTCTAAGGCTCGTACAATGGCCAGCAGTTCCCAATCAAAGATCTGATAATTCCGTTCAGCAGGAGAGAAGGTTTGGGACAGGAGGGAGCAGGGATGCCAATTGCCGTTGGAGTCTTTCTGTAGAAGTACTCCTCCAGTAGCATAAAGTGATGCATCCACTGCGATTGCCAAAGGCGAGTCTTTGTCAGGGATTGAAAGTACAGGGGTGGAATGATCGAACATGCTTGACGGTAGTTGGTTGTTCCCATTTGACTACACCGTCTAATTTGACTTTGTCCATGCAGATTTGTCCAGGACGAATGAGGAGGCCGAGGTATTCAACTTCAGTGGTATCAAATACGCACTTTTCGGGTTTTAAGGAAAGTTGATGGTCTCGGAGTCATTGTAATACTCGAGCAGTTCATTGGTAGTGGGATTTGATATCTTTAGAGAAGATTAAGATGTCATCCATATAAATGACCATCCATCCTTCGTCAAGCATGTTGGAGAAGATGTTGTTCATCATAGCTTGGAAGGTCGCGGGAGCATTGCAGAGACTGAAAAACATGACAGTAGGTTCGAAGAGACTTCTTGACATCTTAAATGCTGCTTTCCATCTATCTGGCCCATGGATGCGGACATTATTATATCCTGCGCGAATGTCCATCTTTGTAAAGATTGTTGCACCCTTTAGTTTGTCAATGAGATTGGGGATATGAGGAAGGGGATAGGCATCTTTTATGGTTGCATCATTAAGTTTCCTATAGTCTTGACATGGACAGAGAGATCCGTCTTTCTTCCCTACAAAGAAGAATGGGGACGCCTGAGGGGATTGAGAGGGTACAATAGTTCCTTTTGCCAAATGTTCGTCAACAAACTCGTTCATTGCCTTTTCTTCCAGTGCGGATAAAGGATAGATCTTGCAGGACCGTGGTTCGAAGTCTGGTTTGAGTTTTATTTTATGGTCAAAGGGTTGAGATGGGGGTAGGGTATCCATAGCTGCCTTGTCAAAGACATCTTTGTACATGTGAAAGACTTCAGGTACGAGTTCTTCAAATGTCTTCAGCATTTCTTTAGCATACGCTTGTTGAGCTAGCTGTTGTGCGACATTTGCAGCTTTTTGAATTGGACATGGAGTGAAGATGAACCTGGCAGAGTTTGGAACCTTGGTGATTCTGTTTGTCCGGGATACGAATGAGAATGTGGGAGGGATATGTTCTTGAGTAAGTGGTGAATTGAAATTGGTTTTCTCATAGACTCCAATGAACTCTTCGCCTTTGACATAAGCAATAAGAACTTCGTCATCTGCTAGTTCCTCTATTATTTCATCATCATCTTCTTCTTCAGATATGAGTTCGGGTTCCTCCTCGGGAATATCATCTGAGGAGATGTATGCTTCTTTGTCAACAATTTCTTCTATTCTTGGTTGCATAGAAGCATGTCTGGCCCTGTCAGTGATAAGAGTTTGTTAGTTGTGGTGATTGAGCACCTTATGGTGCGAGTTATTTGTGTTATGATGTTGCTTCTTCTATTGGACTCTCACTTAGCATGTGATGTGAATTCCTTACTTACTTAGGCAGTGTTTATGCTTGTTTACATAGACTTGCCCATAGGTAGCAAGTCCTGTGTTGGTTGCTCTTCAGCAACTGACACTGGACTATAGGTATAGTACACTCATTAGTTTACACAACACAATAGCAACTGACACTGGACTATAGTCCTGTTCACTCTCATTAGCTCACTTGTGGCTTGCTTCACTTGGTTATTCTAACAGGTTATGAGCCCTGCGCTTTAAGGACCTCAAGTCATTCATTCC